GGCTTAGGGTTTAGAGTTTAGAGTGTGAGGCAGCCTTTAGATGCGGCTGCGGTCGCCCTAAAACCTCAAACCTGGGTGTCAGGCATTCCGTCGTAGCACTTTGGTCTCGGAGTAGACGAAGTAGGATGTCTGCTGGCATGCCTTCGGCAATTAATATAGGTGAATTAATTGGTTCGAAGAGGGCTTCATAGTACACTTTACTACAGTAACAACAACAATAACAACAACNNCAATGACAATGGCAATGACAATAACAACTACCAATCAAATCATAACCTTGATATTAAACATCATCATAACGAACCCATAACGAATAGTGCTCATAATTGTTCATTTACTTTAGCCTTCTATGTATGTGAACTCTTCGCATAAGACTGATTAGTAAGTAATGTAATGCCAATCATTACCACAGAAACACTGGTTTGGATATACCCGAAAAACTCAGATGCTCATATACGTTGTGGGTTGCAGTGCCTTAGGACTTATCTAAACGCTATAGCATCCTTCTTAAAAAAATATTCATAGCCCTGGTTGACCTATTCAATGAACGTTTCTGGTATCCCTGTAGTATAACTACCCAGATGATATGCATGGCACTCTTTGCGTCATCAATACAACCTAAAGCCTAAACCCTAATTATAGCACATAAACCCTATGGGAATATAGCCCATAAACCCTGAATATAGCCCATAAACCCTACATATAACCAATAAACCCTATACCCCAAATATAGCCAATAAACCCTACACATCGGCAGCGAGGCTCGGAACGCCCCGCTAACCTTCAAAAACCCCGGACCGTTTCAACCCTGAACCTTACCTTACAGTACCATGAACTAATGTAGGGGCCTTAATCATTAGAATGGGGTTTTGGGCTCCTTTCTGGTATAGTCATAAAGAAGAACCCTAAGGAATAATATTGATAAGCATGTAGACTTATATATTGTAATCGAAGGTTCTTCGTGGGGATCCAAAACCTACCGCTTGAAGGGTTGGACCCTCTAAGTAAGGGGTCATAATCTGCTATTTTGTAGGGTTTGGGGTGCAGGTTGTCACAAACCTTAATTCTCAAATTTACACCGGGGGGTCCAAAAAGTCTTAACTTGGTATTTCCAGACTCACCAGAATCTCCTGCCCTGCGCACCTTCTGCGTGGACAGCTGCACGAGCCGTCGCAGCTGGGTTCGCAGCTTGGGGTCATCCTCCTCGAGAACCTTCAAAAATATATGGACCTTAATAATTCTAAGAGGGTTTTGGCGTATATTACACTCTGCTTACAATAAGGAACCCAAAGGACTACTCATGGTAGTTATTCCGACACCTAGATAAACTTTTGAGCTTAGCGGCTTTTCTTGCACATGCAGGGTTCGCACGTGAGAAATTGGGATGTTGAGGGTGTGGGCCCCGCTCCTCGCTAGGCGACCTTGCGCTGTCCCGGAAACAGCGGAATGCACCTCTGTTTAGGGTGTAGGGTTTATAAGTTGGGTTTCGACCACCCGGTGCAGTGCCACCATGTCCGCGGAATCACGGTCTCCCGCCCAGCAGCCGGTTGCTCTGCTCTCCCTGCTGTCATCCACCAACATGGTTGGCCAAAGACGAAAACAATTCGTTTCAGTTGCCGCTCCCAGCCAACAGACTGCGCATGTTGCCGTTCGCAACCAAGCGATGCCAAGCGCAATGTCACGCATATCAGTCATGGCAGGTAATAGTAGTTAATATTAATAACAGCTTCATGTTCAATAATACTGGTAATCATCTTAATGCCAACCACACACAGCTAAGACTACTGCTGCGGCGACTGCAACCCTGGTATTGCACCATATCTGCAACTGCAATGCTACAAAGTCACTCCCACGACGACGACTACTGCGACTACATCATAGATGACACTTTCCATTTGATGTCATGTTTCTTTGGCGAACTCGAAACATCTCGAAACTATCTGTTCGACTTTGACGAGCGGAGACTTGCTGAGAAGGGTGAGCTTCTGGTTGAAGATAAGGGCTACTGCAAGGGTACTATGAGGGCTACTATAGTTAAGCGTTACTATAAGAGCTACTATACGGGTTGCTGTAAAGGTGCTAGTCTTTAGGATGTGTTCAGGGTTGCATGTTTTTATCAGTTTTGCTGTCTGTTTCTAGGGTGGCGTTTCCCTAAAACCTAAAACCTAAGCTAAACCCTATGAGTAAAGTTCCTCAATTCCAGTCCTGTTCGCTGCTCCACAAACACTAAACTTAGGATTTAGGGTTTATCGTTTCAATCCTTACAACCCACAACCCTAAGCCCTGTATAAGCCGGTAAGAACTACCTGGACCCTAGAAAACGTACCTTTTTTCAGGACTTATATTTCATAAGGAAATCATAATGAGGAGCCCTAAAAAAGGTAGGCTATTACGGGTGAAAGTAGGAACCAAAACCATGGCCCCAGCGAGAACCTTTAGTAGAAAACCCCGCGAAAACGCGAACCACCTCCCCCCCCCTACCCCCTCAAAAACAACTGAACGTTACATCCCTTGCCGCATAGAACCCTCCAGCATCCCAAACCCGAGTACCCTAAAAAATAAACCTCCAAACCAATGCTCTGAAATCCAAAACACCGCATTCGCCCTGAACCTAAACACAACATCCTGCAAGCCCGAAGCTGCAATCCGACTCCCACAACCTTGGGAAACTGAGCCTCTTCGGACTGTAATGCCTATAACCTAAGCGCTCTAGACCCCTGAGTAGTTCCGTTTTATGGTTTATATCGAGAACCCTAAAAGGTAATCCCCAAAAGGAACTACTTAGGGGCCTATGGGTAGTTTGGCCACCATCAACTCCCCTGGCCACCATCAACTCCCCGGCGAGCCCGGTTTACCTCTTCATCAAGTCATAAGCACCAAGAATTGTACACTTTCGGTTCGACAAAGAATCATATTTTTCCCAAAGAGTGTCAAGTGTATTTGCTCAGTTTTTACGTAATGGGGCTTCGTAATAGGTAAGACTATGATTTAAGCGCAAAGCCTAGTCGAAAACCTGAACCATAGAGCCTAAACCGCTCTATGGCTCCGAACCCTGGGCCTTACCTCTAAGCCCTGAACCCTAAAACAGTGATAAGCAAGTGTCGAAGGTGCCCTGGGCACCTCCTTCTTGAGGCTCAAAAACACCTCAGCGGCTGAGCTTTCAGATTAAAGGTTTAGGATTTGGGTAGTTCTCTAAATTAAGGTCCCGTTTACGGTCCTTTCGTATTAGGAGTGCCGCCTTCTGTTGCGTTCCAAAAAAGGGAACCTGATTTAGAGAACTACCCGCTTAGGGTTCAGGGCTGGGGGATTTGAATTGTTTAGGGAGTGCTAGCAAGCATACCAGAACGGGAGAAAACAGGAAACAACACGCTGAGGCTGAGGTATGCTGAGAGGCAAAAGGACACAGAAACCTTGCCTGGTTAACATGAGTGACGGGAACAGAACATAAAGTTGTGCAACAGAACACCGCAAAAAATCAATATGGCAAACATGCATAACATCTCCGACATGATACTTCATAATGTAGCATAGCGTCGAATCCCAGAGCGTAAAAACCTAAACTCGACACGCTTTGACGTAACGCGTGGCTAAATGCCACAGAACGGCCTTCAAGAGATGACGTTGATGGACATCGTCCATCAGTAGAATGCCTATCCGTAGAAATTCCCGAACCCCGTCAAATAGAAACACCCACAACTAATAAAGAACTGCAAAACACCGCAATATTTCCTGCAACAATCGGTACCAAACTCCATCATAACCTCTAGTTCCATTTCCCTCAGGTTCCATGATCCCCCCAGGCTTAACTTAGGGGACCCCGAAAATGGACACGACCACTTACGAGGGTGCTTAAGACCTCCACTAACATGAGCTGTGTATGAAGCTGGATGTTATGGGGGAGGGTCGCAGGGTTTTGGGATGCTATGGGATGCTGTAGGCTCGATACCCCCACACAACAAGTAAATGGACAAAATTGTCTGTGGCGTCTGTCATTGGTTTCTGGAATTCATGCTCTCTGTGGCTCTCCCGGCTTCTTCTGCTGCGTTCACACAGTGCGAGTTCCTTCCTTTTTCACCGCTGCAGAACTCGGTTTTCGGTTGTCGCAGCCCCAAAGTCGCTGTCGCCTAGCGATGTGATCGTAGGGCTTGGGTCGGTGTGGCTAGGGTTTGGGATTCAGGGATGGAATGGTAAAGTTGTTTTTGACTTGGTTATGGTGAGCCTTCGGCACAGCAGCATGCCCCGTTGGCCCCTCCAGCCACAAGCCTCAAGAGAAGTCATTTTAAATTAATTGTCGGAGGCTTCTGGCTGCATGAGTTCTCAATGCCTCGGCCTAAACGAAACCCTGGGAACCCTAAGTTTTTAGAACCCTCGACTGAAAACCAGGATGTGTCGAGGCTCGCTGGCGTAGCCACCTTGTCGATCCTGCTACGTAGCTTCCGGAGTCTTGCAGCCGACGTGGGGTCTTTTGGGCAAACTTCCGCCAGATCAGCAAGCACTGACTTCCCGAAGTTCTTCGTGCTCACCGCGGCGAAGGTGATGTCAAAGAACTCGGCCGCCCTCATCGTGATGACGTCGTACCTGACCAACGAAGTTCCTACGAAGATCTTCCCGTCGCCGTCGAGGATCTGGAAGCCAGCAGCTTTGCAGGCAGCTGGCAGCCTCTGGAGAAAGTCCTCGATGTTCTTCGAGCCCGCCATCGACCGTGAGAACATCGCAGGGGCCCACACCTTGGCGCTGGCCTCCACCTCGCTTGGCCCTGCAACAGCGCTCTCCTCAGTCGGCGTGGCCTTGAGCCACTGCTGTGGATTGTCACTGATCGTCTCCAGCAGCTCGGCGAACTTCTCAGGAAACGTGAGGACCAGCTTGGCCCCCGCGGTGCTGCAGCTTGCTGTCCGAAGCTGGCAAAGCACAGTCTCGAGAGGATCGAGGAGGCAAATCTCTGACAAGCTGCAAGTGAAGTACTTTGTAGGATCCACCTTGGTGCAGCGGACGACTCGGATCACTAGCTGGCCACGGCTGGAGCACCTTTTCCTGAAGAGCCGCGAGCTCGGCCTTCATGGCCGCATGATCTTCTGCCGAAGTGAACAGATGCAAGTTTGCCTGGCTGGCCATCGCTGCGACATCATTGGCCTCGTAGTCGATCTCCTGGGCCTCCTCCTCGAAGGTGTCGAGGGTCTCCACGGCCACTCCATCCTGGATGACGGGCTCGTCGTCCGCGTCACTGTCACCATCCATCTCAGGACCAGTGCCCTGAGTCATCATCCCGTGCTCCTCGGAGCGCCACCATGCCTTGAAGTTCTCCTGGATCTGCTCGGCCGGGACGCGGCAGCTGAGGTACGGCATGAGGCGCGCAGCTCCTGTGAAGGCTTTGTCGATGCAAGCAGATGCTGTCTCGAGGCTGACCTCTGTGGCATTGAAAGCTGCTGCTGTCGATGGAGATGCAAGTTGCTTCAGGTGCTGCAGGTGCTGGGAGTAGATGGAGTCCCGGATGGATGGGTTGCCCGGTAAGCGGCCTTGCAGCGGCCGAACCAGCTCTCCACGCATTTTTCCTGCACCTTTGGAGGGTCGATGCCTGGCGAGTGAAGGGTCATGATGATCATCGTTGCCAGCGACCAGCAAACAGTGCGGACCGTCTGCAGGGGCTTCTCCCAAACTTGCTGAGAAGACAGCTTGGCCGGACACCAGTGCACATGATGTGCCTGCTGTCGCTGCCCGATGCGCGAGCTGAGGCACGAGCAATCAAACAAGCAACGTCAAGCAGCAAGCATCAAGCACTCGGAGGCGACACAAAGGAAAAAAAAGAGCGCCTCAGGAGCACCGAAAGGCACCGAAGAATCAGCCGCCGGGCATCGAGTAAGGGCTTGACCTCAACCCCACAAACCCTTAGCCCCGAACGGGCCTCCACCCAATCCCCCGGGTTTCAGCGGCTGCAATCTTCAGCGTCAATGGCACCATGTCGAAGCCCATGTCATGAGCCCAGTTGTCGGCCTGCCAAGCAAAAAATGAGTGCCTCCCCAAACTAAAGTGGCAAAGGCCCGTCTTGGGAACGGAGTCGAGTTTCTTCGACCAGCTCTCTCCATCCAAGTGCTGGAAGTAGACTCAGCGTGCACAAATGGGCAAGGCAAAAGGAATGATTTTTGAATCAGGCCCTGGCAATCCTTCCGCTTCTTCTTCGCACCGGAGATGACAAGCTTTGCCCACCACACCCTAGCGAGCGAGCTCCCCGATTTGATCAAAGCCCAGCAATCCCCAGCATGACTAGGCCCACCGAGCCGCAGGCATTCTTCTCCGGAGGCTTCCACAGGAAAAAGTGCTGCCGCTACAGTGTCTCAGGCAGCCGCGTGTAGTTCGAACTGGTTTTGAATTGGAGTTTGGGGTTTACACTCGGACAAGCCAGGCGAGGTTCCATAGTCGCAGGTCAGGTGACACCGTTTGGGGTTTAGGAGTGGGGCTTTGGCGACTGAGGCTTTCTTGTGGAGGGGCTTGGGTTTGTCTGTGGGCTCAGTGTCAGGTTATGTCAACCACATCTCGTACACGGCTCGGCTGCCGTTAACAGGTCTTGTCTGGTTCCGCTAACGGTAACAACATCAAAGGCATGCTGATAAGGCTGCTGAATCGAGTCCAAGCTGGTGCATGCTACCTGCCCCACAGCCTGAGGTGATCTGAAGGGCCAAATGCCCTCGCGGCGGGGGCTCTTATTTTTGAACTCGGAATTGATGACTGCCAGCACTGCCCTAAGCACTCAATGGCCTCCAGATACCCCTAACCCCCCCTATGTCATAGACTATCCCACCACAAGAGTCATACTGGGTCTATAGCACCAACTTAATAATGGACAAAAACATCCGCAGGGTTATTCTGTCCATTTAACCCTTCCCAGGGAATGATGTATCATGATGTATCATGTTGCAAGCCCGGAAAATTGACAGCTTTATTGGCCACATGGACCCTCCACCCCCCCTGTCCATTTAATAATGTGTGGTGATGGTCCATGTGGGTAGTTCTCTAAATTCAGGTCCCTTTGTAGGTCTCCAGTCTCGTACGGCACCCTTAAAAAAACCAAAGGGCCCCTAATTTAGAAAACCACTCATGTACGCTTTTGCACTCTGAGCCGAAGATATCTATACAGGATCACGGTCAGAAACTATGGGCATACCATTCGGGCACATGGACCCTGAATCCTTAAACCTTAAACCCTAAAGCCTAGAAGCCCTAACCCCTAAACCCTATAAGCCCTAAACCCTGAACCCTAAACCCTACAAGCCCTAAGCCCTGAACCCTAAACCCTAAGCCACCGCAAAAAAACTCGCTAAAACCCATAGGAAAACAGGAAACTCCTGAAGCGAAGCCTTTGAGGAAGCACGGCCTGAGGGTGCCTATTGGGTAGTTCTGTTTTCAGGTGGGTAGTGATCGTTCTAGGAGCCTTATAGAAGGTTTATATAGCCTTATAGAAGCCTTATAGAAGCATATAGAAGCCTATAGAAGCCCTATATACCCTAAACTGCCCACCTGTAGTTTCCTTTAACGCAGATCCCGGACTGTCGTCCTCTCTGTTTTGCAGGCCAAGGCCGTGGCACTCGCGCGCCAGGGGTTCTGGCCAGCGAGGGCTTTGGGGGGCTTTGGGTTTGGGGCTTTGGGCCTTTTTTTTTTGGTTTTAGGGTTTAGGGTTTAGGGTTTAAGGGCTTTGGGTTTGGAGTTTAGGGCTTCGGGTTATATGCCAGGACCATTCAGGACCCTTTCTGTACCCTGAAATAAGGGTAAAGGTATATAAGGCATAAGACAAAGCTGAGGGTGCAGGCGGGTTTCGGGTGTAGGAATTCGGGGTTAGATAACCCCATTGCTGTACTTATAATTATAAGTATAATTATAATTATGCTTATATTTAATTATATATATATACTAAGTACCGTAATCCTCCAAAGTAGCAAGCAAGCGCCCAAAACCTAAAGGCTAAAGCCTAAACCCCAAACCCTGAACCCTAATTCCTAAACAACCCCAAACCCCTATAGACCCTACACCCCAAACCCTCGACCCTAAACCCCAAACCCAACCCTAAACCCCAAACCCTCAACCCTAGACCTTGGCCACCACTGGGTCTGGAACCCCAAACCCATGATTGGAAGAGGCCTTGGGGGCGATATGGCAGTGCTTGGTGATGTGGGGACCATAGTTCATAAAGAGATACTCTTAGAAGTCTGATCTTAGACTTGTATACTTCGTAGACTGTCGTAGACTTAGAGTTTAAGGGTCTAGGGCTTACGAAAGTTCGGAGGTTTCGGGTTGAGGGTTTAGGGTGTAGCTCTAGTGATTCTAGTGAATCCTACCCCGCACTCCCGTTGCGGCGACCCGACGCAGCAATACAACTTCCTACAACAGAACTCCAGAAAGACACCTCAGGGCCCAAAGACAAGCGAGTCGACAGGGAATCCCAGAAGGTTGAAACATGGAGTCAGGACGATTCGTGCTAGGATCTGTTCGACTTGACCCGAAGGGCCTGAGGATGGTCATGCTCCAACTTTATAAACCCTAAACCCTAAACCATAGCCTAAACCCTAAACCCTAAATCCTAAACTATGAAACCTAAACCCTCTACCATGTACTAGCTTCTACTATAAGTTTTGTGGCCCTTACAACACGTTTCAGAGCCCCAGACTGTCTCCTTGGCCGCAAGCCGAAGCCTCAGATTGTAAGCTAAATCCCTTGTTAGGGTAGTTCTCCAAATTAGGGTCCCTTTTGAAGGTCCATTTTTAAAAGGGTGCCGTACTCTATTTTGGACCGAAAAGGGACCCTCATTCAGAGAACTACACAATTTAGGATTTAGGGCCCTTGAGCTCGACCCGAGGCCTGATCCGAATGTACAGCTTTTGAATCCTTCGCAGTAGCAACCCCCCCCTTTGTAGCGCTGATACAAGATCACACAACAGGATTTTTAGCTTGAATTCTTCCAGCGCCCAGATATTTGACATTCCGCAGCCCTCTGAAACTCTCCAATAAACCCTAAACCCTCAACCCCTGAACCCTAAACCCTCAGCCGGAAACTAACTCCAACGGTGTAAGGCCCACTGAATCCCGCCAAAGGCATGCAGGGCCCGACGCGGCGGAGAGCGATGGTGGAGGGATGGAGCGCCAAGCTCTTCATGCGCTCCCTCCTTCAGGGTTTAGGGGTTCAGGGTTTAGGGGTTCAGGGTTCAGGGGTTTAGGGTTCAGGGGTTTAGGGTTCAGGGTTCAGGCATGCGGAGCTCCCCAGAGTCTCTTCAAAGGGGTACCTTCAACTATCTAAACCCTACCTGGACCCTAAAGAACCTCCCTTTTTAGGGTTCCTTATTATGAATTCTTTTTATAAGTCCTTGAAAAGGTAGGTTTTTTTGGGGTTAAGGTAAACCCTATAAACCCTAGGCTCTGATCATAAAAGCCTATAGTAAACCCCAAAAAGTTGGAAACCGGATGAAGGACAAATAGTGCTGGGATTCCTTATACATTACTCTTAAGGATTGAGGCTATTGGGTTTCCAACTTTTGGGCTTCTACTGTAAGATGGAGCTTCTCTAGGGATCGCTGCAAAAAGTTGCCCGGGTTCTTGGTAGCTTGGGGCAGGGTTTAGGGTTTAGGGGTTTCGGGATTTAGGGTTTAGGGTGTAGGGTTTAGCGGTTTAGGGTTTAGGGTGTAGGGTCTAGGGCTAGCGGTTGAGAGTTTCGGGCTGACCCGAACCCCAAAGAACATGGCTTTTGAGGGTTCCTCATGCTCCTCCTCCTTCCTGCAACCGGGATAGGGTTTAGGGGCTCCTTGTTAAAGCTATAGTATAATAATTATACCCCGAAACCCTGTTCTAATTGTTTCGTTAAGGCCCAGGCAGGGTTTACGGTTCCCCCGCCCCCCCCCCCCCAGCGATGCCTCTGCTTGTCTTTCGCCTTCTTCGCACTTCTGTCCGGGCCGAAGGACGGGCTCGGAGACGGATCCTCGCTATGGCTGGGGTTTTCCCCAAACAATCCCTACCCCTGAACCCTGAACCCTAAATCCTGGGGTTAAGGGTTGAGGGCGTAGGAATCGGGGTTTGGGGCATACCTATAGTCTCCATTCTAGTTCCTTTTTTGGTTTAACCAATTCTATATTAAGAATCCCAACCCAAAAGGTAACCCCCAAAAAGGAGCTACAATGGAGACTATAGGTAGGGCTTGTAGGATGTATAGGGACTCCTTAGTCGATGGGGTTTGAAGAGTGTTTGTATTGCTTCACGTAGGGGCCTTAGTAATTAGGGTTTGTGGGGGTATGTTATACCATACTTATAATAGGGACCCCCACCAAAAACGTACAGGCAAATCACTAAGGCCCCGTGTTGTTCGATTT